AATTATTTTGTATTTTTTATATTGCATTAAATCAGGGGTCATCAAACTACAGCCCCTAGGCCGGATACATGCAATGAACACTTCTGTTGCTGCAGAGAATCTCCCCCTTCTGGGTCTTTTTGTGCAGGTCGCAGGGGGGCAGAAATTCCGACTTGGGGTCTGCTTCAGCCTCCTGATGTGGGGCTTTGGGCACAGACTAGAGGAAAGCATCGCTGGTGGCGAAGAGCCGGAAGGCCTCGTTCCAGTGGGACTGTATCATGGCCTGGAACTGGCTGACCATCTCAGCCCACTGAGCCTCCAGGTGCTGGTACCTGGCCTTGCACTCCCGCAGGCCTTCCCTCTGCTTGGAAAGCCTATGCTGGTAGTCCTCAGTGAGGTGCTTCTACTGAACCTCCTTCTCAATCAGATCCAATTTGAACTGTGCTGTTTTGCCAATTCTTCCTTATGGTGGCTGCTTAGCTCCAGCAACTGCTTCCTGTTGGGGCCCTAAGGAGCCCAGGTAGCAAAGATGGATTTCTGCCGGTTTGCCCCAGGTCGGGCAAACCGGTAGTGGCAGTGGAGGGCGGCTCTGCCCATCTGCCCGGATGTGTCATGTGCGCATGAGTGAACCGGTAGTAAAATAAATTGAAACCCACCACTGCTGGGCGGACAGGCAAGGAGTGGCTGGGAGAGGAGGAATGAGGAGAGGCTGGTGAGGCGTCCCTTGACATGAGTGACATCAATTTGGCCACAGCCACCCAGTCACATGACCACCTAGCCATGCCCACCCAGCCATTCATTGGCCAGATCATCTTAGTGGTCCGCGGGATTTAAAATTATGAATTTATTGGTCCTTGAGGTCCGAAAGGTTGGTGACCCCTGCTATAGAGGAAAAGACAATTGAGAAGAAGAGAAAAAAAGAAGAATCTGAGAAAATAAAAAAGTCCAGAAAGTGTAAAATATCTATCCAAGATATGTTGATTCACTTACAGTTGATTCTTGAATACTGGTTAAATTTCTGGAGTGATGTTTACTGCTCTCTTACTACTGGTTGAATAACCTCAACCATTTACAAAAGTAAGTATTTTTGTTGCTGACCATATCCAAATAGCAGCTCTTTTGTGCAGAGACAAGTCCTCCTTGTGACAGTGATTTTGTGTAGATCTAGATAAGTTCTCAGAATTCTGAATGTTCCCTTGCACCAATGGCCTCACAATCAAATGCAGGCTTCAATGAATTAACGCTTGGCTCATGTGTTCTTCTTCTTCAAGGTCCTGAAGCTAGTATCAGATCTGAGAAACCATCCTGCTGCTTTTCTGTTGTCAGAGGGCTATCCAATAGTGGTTTCCTCGGATGATCCGGCCATCTTTGGATCAAAGGGATTATCCCACGACTTCTACGAGATGTTTATGGGCGTAGGAGGCATGAGTGCCAACCTGAGAACTATTAAGCAACTGGTGCTAAACTCTTTCAAGTAAGTTCATATCTTTTGTATGCTGACATTTATGGATAAAAAAACCATCATCTATGTACAAGCATATATCCAAACAGGCAGGGGTGGGCTTCAAAAATTGCAGCAACGGGTTCGCTGCCCCATTGCTGGGTGGGCGTGGCCTAGTCGGTCTCCTGTACCACAGCAGGGATTGGAGGGGTGTTTTTGCGCTCTCCCCAGGCTCCGGAGGCTTTCCTCAAGCCTCAGGGAGGGCGAAAACTGCTTCCCCTGGGCTCCAGAGGCCCTCTGTAGGCCGGAAACAGACCTGTTTCTGGACTTCCAGAACCTCCAGTAGCCCTGTTTCCCCACCCACCCACCCCTGAACCTCTGCATGGGCCCTGCATAATGAACGGGCCGTGTGGAAACTCCTGGAAGGGGGTGGGTGGGGGTGGCCAGCCAGGGATGGCATTTTGGGATTCGCCAAACTGGGCAGAATCCTAGCTATAGCAATAGCAATAGCAGTTAGACTTATATACCGCTTCATAGGGCTTTCAGCCCTCTCTAAGAGATTTACAGAGTCAGCATATCGCCCCCACAGTCTGGGTCCTCATTTTACCCACCTCGGAAGGATGGAAGGCTGAGTCAACCT